GTGGGTATATCCTTGAATCTTGAACGTAGAGTATTTTGGATAGGCAAACTTTCTTTGACTAGTTTCCAACTAGATTTAGATCGGTAGATACTAAGTTTGTACTAAAGAAAAGTTTTTGTGAGAAGTGTTACTATTCTCGTATAGTAAAGTAGTCTAAGTCTACGTTTTGTGTTTAGATTTCGGAAGCTAATATGCTTACATGTTTGTTGACTCAGCGGAGTATTAGTGGCTTAGAAAGATTGATCTATGGGGTCATAATGTTAAATATCCTTGTACTTACGTACACACGTTTAAGTGTGGGAGAGCCATGCTTCGGCACGAATGGGCCGGCTAGACCGGAGTGATACCACGGCCCACAGAAAACCGACGTGAACCAACGCTTGTGTTGTGTTTCGTCGTGTGAGTGAGGTTACCGGAGGCCCAATTACCCCCCTCCCTAGTCTCTCGAAGTCCCAAATCCTCCACAATCCTCAAATTCCCAATCCCCACGCCGGTAACGCACTTGTAACGCCTTGGTGTTTTGAGTGTCCATAGGCGGCGCCGATTGCTTACCATCAGACCATTGCTTATCACCATTACCGGCTTATGCTATAAAAAAAACTCAACTACACACAGCGAAGTAAAAAACCCATCATTGAAAATTAACCATTCATTTTATAAATGAAAAAAGGGCTGACTGATTATCCGGTATCTAGCGTCTAATGCGCGCTTGTCCCCATTCCATAATTTAGTAAAACCATCATGCTTGGCACACATAGCGGGGGAGGCATTCAACCTAATTGCTCGCTGTCCTATCACGAAGATATTAAATTCCTGTCTTTTAGTCTAGATGAAAATAGCGTGCAATAATCCGTGTGACACAAATATTGCTCTATTTATTGGATTTTCGTGGATAAACTTAGATCAAACACCGTTTTTGTCACTAGCTATTACATAATTGAATAGTGATCTCGATAGATTACTATTCAATTATGTGACAGCCGAGTAAGAGGATACAGGTTGGATAACCCTGTAAAATACCTACAATGTATGATACTTCAATTTTCGAATATCTCTGTGGAATTTTGAACTGAGTCGATAAAGCAATGTTGTTGTTGAACACATTATTGAAAACTACTTTCGGGCCGCGGCTTCGCTCGCATGCCCGTGGAATAAAAGTAGCCTATGGGTTATTCTAAACGATAATCTATCGCTGTTTCGAATTTTATCCCGATCCCATCAGTCGTTTTGTCGTGCGATTGAGAAACAAACAAAAAGTACGTCGTGGTGGCCCGGAGGTTTAAGACGCTCGCTTCTCATGCTTGAGGGTGTGGGTCAAAACCTACCAACGACAAATACCAATGTGACTTTTTCCGAGTTATATGTACTTTCTAAGATTATTTAGACACCACTGACAAACGGTGAACGAGCACTTCGTGAGGAAACCTGGGCTTATAATTTCTAATTATAAGTTTGAAATCGCCAATCCGCGTTGAGCAAGCGTGGTGATTAATGCTCTAACCTTCTCCGTGTGAGAAGAGGCTTTGCTCAGCAGTGGGCATTTATAGGCTGTTGATGATGAATATTAACAAGATTGTAATAAACTTAGGATATTAAATTAAGTTTAAAGTCTGTTGTTATATATACCTAAAAATATTCTAATTTATGAAATGTACTGCTGAAGGTTGAGGTTTTTTTTAAGGGAGGATAATCATCGAATGACTGCTCCCGCCTAGGTGAGGCGGGAGGGAGTGTCAGACTCTTACTGACTAAAAACCACCCCGTTCCTACTCCTGCACTTCGAGCCGGACCCCCGGTAACCCGTTAGGTTCTCCGCGACAAGGTTGTCGTTTGGAAATAAAGTATAAGACAACTGAACTGATTGGGAGTTTATTTGCGACTGTTATTAATACTAAGTTCGTGGGCACATCCACGTAGTATCTTACACACACTTACACGTTTGCTTAACATGCACTTTATGTCTCTACGGGAGTAGTGTTTCATCTGTATTGAAGCTCTTCTAAAGGACAAAACAACATTTACAACAACCTACAAATCCTAAGTGCGGTCCTGGCAATCCCGCTGCATTATAATAATGTTACCTATATCGAGGCAACTAATAGTTTTACCAAGTTATGCAGCTAGGATGTTGCACGGTTATCTCGCAATCTCGTGAACAAATAGATATGGAATTCATAGAGATATTTGATTATTTTGTCATTTAGAATATCTTGCTTTTGATGTAGATTTGTGCAGATTTGAATTAGAAACTTAATTGCAATGTGTTGTGATTGCTTTTCACTTTGCTGTTGCGACTTGTGCGATTAGTTATCACAATTTAAACAGTCGTAGGAATTGTTTAGTATTTTGTATGTGGCATATTTTACACACTCACCTAACGGTTCTAGTAAGGAATTGGTTTTCAGTATTCTTTAGTGATGATTGTTAAGGGATGATTGGTAAAAACGGTTATTAGTCTTTTCTTTTTTTTTAAAAAACGTTGCCCCACATTTGGATTTTCTCCTGTGTCGTGGGTGCGTTTACAAACATACAAGTTCACATACACATGACACCCAGACCCGAAACAACAATTTGTGGATAACACAAAGTGTTGTTCCGTGCGGGAATCGAACCCACGACACGTTGCACGACAGCCGGTTGCCCAGCTACCGCACCAACCCTGCGGTCGGAGTCTTCTTTAGATTCTGTTTCTTCTGAGGGACTGCCATGTTTCGGCATTAGTGGGCTGGCTCGACCGGAGTGATACCACCAACGAGTAGAAAACCGAAGTGAAACAATGCTTGCGTTGTGAATGAGGTTACTGGAGGTTCTCCAATAACCTCAATCCCTGAATCCCAACAATCCTCAAATTCCTAATCCCCAAAAGGCCGGTAATGCACATGTAACGCCTCATGTTTTCCGGGTGTCCATGGGCGACGCCGATTGCTTACCATCAGGTGATCCGTCTGCTTGTTTACCGGCTTATGCCCATAAAAAAATTCACGTGGTTACAGACAAGCTCTTTCTATTCAAGAATATAAATATCTAATATTCCAATACTCAAACGCCACTATATTTTAAAACGGTTTCTATAACAGTTTTGTCTCTACAAAATAAAATGATAGAGATGGCACGATTTTCAAGTACAACATGAACCTAAGTAGTCTTTCAGTATTTGGGCGTAAGATCTTTTTACTAAGTAAATGAAAGCTATTTTATCTCTATGTACTACCACATAGAAACAACTGGTCCTATATCGCGTGGTCCAAGTTACTTTGTAAAACTTGGGAGGTGTCGTCGACCGAAACAAGTTCCTGAAAGTTTGTCCTTCACTTGACTTACTTACGATGTACAAGTAGATGGTTGATGTTTTTTTTTCACTAAACTATACTACTGTTGTTTCGTTGTACCAAGTACGGTAGATAATATACAATTGTTTTCTTTACAAAGGAACCTCTTGGGATATATAAACTATTATGTTTTCGGATTACTCACGTAATAATTTGACGAGGAACTTGACTAGTTTCAAGCCATGTTAGAGGCTCATATTCATGAGCAGCATTTCGCGACCCCCCGACGCGGCGACTGTCGCGCTGCTACTGGCTACTCGAGTGTGTGGGCCCAGCGCGCCCTCTGCCGTGATTCACGCGCACTTTCTTCCACTCATGGTATCGGCGACGGCGGCGCGCGTGGCACTGTTGACACGCTAGACTCGCCCGCCGGCAGCTGCGTTGGTCAAATCCCGGGTCGACGCAATAACTAGTCGAGTTCCTCGTCAAATTATTACGTGAGTAAGCCGAAAACATAATAATTTATTTAGTATCTCTTGGGATATAAATAAAATACCGATATCAAATTACAAAATAAAAATGTCTTTAATCGATCTTCCACAAATTAAACATTAAAACAACTTGTCCTACTCAAGGACATACAAACCTATACAAATAATATTAAAAACAATACTTATTGCTAGTTACATCTTTATAAATAAATGCAAATACATAAATTAAGCCTACAATCCGGTACTTTATAATAAACTTGGATTATTTATTTCTGCTTTTACTCATAATTATTATATAATTATATCCGTCAGATTACTTCGTACCAAAAAAGAGTAATTTAAAACTCGTCGAGGAATTCCTGAGATGCCTAAACAGCAAAATAAAAGTTTTTAATTAATCGCTTCTTAACAAAATGACTAGAATTTTTAAGATAGCAGATTACTTTCGATATATATTATTGCACTGCCCGTAAGTCAGTCTTCTAATAAATATTAAAAATAGTGACTGAAACTTAGGATATTAAATTAACTACTCTTTGGCAGCGTGGGCACAGCGATGTTATTATTCCATTAATAAAAACTAAATAAATGTTACGTGAGAACAATCGGAAAATGCTATGAGTATATACAATGCGAATAACATCAATTCACTTTAAATGTAGAATAAGATTACTTTCATTATCGAATGCTAACTTTCGGAGCAAAGGACCAACTATCTTCAATACTTATACCAATTTCATCGGGTCACCATTGTCAATAATTTTTCATCTTTTTCTACATTTCAAGCAGTATCTTCATTATCTATTTAATAGTGAGAGCCAAGTGAAATCTACAATACTACTGACGATTAGCTTGATTATAAAATTCTATAACTAAATGTGTTACTACCTTATACCAATGATAAATGGTACAATGACATTGAAAAATATTATTTTGATGATATGAAAGCTATAATATGTCGGATTTATTCACATATTGGTCCTTATACTCAACTAATGGGAATGGAAATGTTTGTTATCAAATTAAAATGTACTTTATCCCTTAAATATAATAAAATATACTTTCATTAGTTCGCTTTTACAACTGTGATTGTTCATATTAGCTTCAATGATTTTCATGTTTTAAGAAGTGGTAAGAAAACATTCGCATTTCAGAAATGGAGTAGGTATGTTACTTATATCGTTTTTAAATAATGAGTAAATGCAGTATCTATTTAAGGGGTTCCAACGAAGTATCCTAATTAAGTTTTAACATTATATTTATCAACAATCCTATTGCTATCCGGTGAATCATCGGCAAATTTAATTTCGCTTGACGAATCTGAATTTTCATCAGCGAATTTTATATCTGAGAAATCATTTCTTTTCAGTGTCCCAGAATCTTTTTCTTTGGCCTCATTTACCCTTTTTAATGTCGACGTATCGTAGTCACTTCGATTCTCTTTTCTATGCACTCTCACTGGAGATCGTGTTAGCGTCAAATCTTTCATTTGTATCGTCACGGGACTTTCAGCTTTCTTCTTCTTATTCCTCTTTGTCATTTTAGGCGAGTTTTGCAAATCACTTATGCTAAAGTTTAACGGGTGTATTATGTTTCCCTTTTCGATAACTTTGCGGAATGATTTGATGGATTCGTTTGATCTATTGATGCGGTTGTCAGGGTTCCTCTTGAGAGTGCTCGATGAGGGTCTATCTTCAGGTGACTCAGTGTTGCTTCCAGGGTCAGGATGCAGATCCTTTGGTAAAATTTCCTGTAAACAGATACAACGACTAAGCAAACATTTTTATTATAGCAGATAGGTTTTACTTAAAAAAATCTATCGAATGCCTACCTCATATATTGGCACTTTGTTTTCATCAATCTCCTTTAGAATATCGCCTTCTTCAAGCGGTGGGATCCAAACTAGGAAAGCTGGATCCATTCCCAAATATGAGCCAGGAACTGAACCTGCGACAAATGACAATTCAGATTCTTTTAAATTAAGTTAAAGGAATAATAATTTTGGAATGGTGGCTTAGCGAGGTATTAATGTAATTTAACCTTTTGAAGTCTCGTGGTGTCATTAGGGTTTTTAATTACTACAATGTATTAGTAGCTACAGCGCTAACAACGCCCTAATAACGATAGCCGATATGTCTTTGACATAATATCTGTCAGTCGTAGTCGTAATAGTAGTACGTAATCCTATTGTCGAAGGTATCGACATAGGACATCTTCTTTGAACGAATCTATAAGTTTAAGTCGAGATAGTCAAAGAAGAGTCATTAGTCAAGTCATTCAAATTGGCTATTTCAGTTAGGTTAACTGACTCTGTCAAGTCTACCAAGTTAATCAACTCAGTCAAGTCAATTAATGCTAGTGTTAGTCAAGTCAGTCAAGCAAGATCTACCAATTTGATCAAAGCGAAGAAGCCTGCCAGTTCAATAAATTCGGTCCAATCGATCAATTCAGTCAACTTTGTCAATTCAGTTACCAAAGTCAGTCAAGTGAGCTTAGGAATACAGTCCAGTAGGCATAACAATTTAAAATTCACGAAAACCTTACCAGCATTATTAACTTCATAGTCATAATAGTCGATTTCCATCTCCGGGTGTGAGGTCAGGCTGAGATCTGACCTTAATAGGCGACGGTTGCAAGATTCTTTGGTGTGCTTTGGGTTGTCCCTGATCTTGGCTGCAGATACACCGCTAAGAGCTGGTGAATACCAGCCCTGAGAAAGAAGCAAAACATAGTTTAATACTACAATGAATATAATGACACGAATACAAAATATAGGTATTGAAATAGGTTCCTTTTTTGGTTTTGAGGGGGAAAATCATCCAAAGGCTCTTCCTAACTTGAGTGGAGCCAGAATATGTTAGACTTTTACGAACTAAAAACCACCTCGTTCTTTCTCCAGTTTTGAGCAGAAGCCGGTTACCCGTTAAGTCGTCTGCGGCTCCGAAATTAATCATCATAAAGCAGGTACTGACCCAAGACACCACCTTTGACCATTAACAACACACTACCACTCACGTTAGTCAATGTTGCAGCAGATGTTGACGACGATGCTCTGCTCTCGCTTCTATCCTTGTCCCACATGCAGCTGTCTCTATCTTTCTCGCTACAGCTGTCCCTTTCACTTACACTGCTCACGCTGGTGCTCATTTCAACCACCAAAGAGTCAGTTGTCGACTGAGGTGGTGAAGTAACCTAAAAATTAATAAAATAAAGAGGGTTTAATTAATAAAATAATAGACTTATCAAGTACAATGTACAATAATCTGCTTTTACTTAAATTAGGAAATAAGTTGATAAATGAAACATTGTGTGCATGTCGTGGTGGCTCGGAGGTTTAAGATGCCCACTTCTCATGCATGAGGGTGCGGGTTCGAAACCTACCAACGGCAAGTACCAATGTGACTTTTTCCGAGTTATATGTACTTTCTAAGATTATTTAGACACCACTGACAAACGGTGAAGGAAAAACATCGTGAGGAAACCTGGACTTATAATTTCTAATTATAAGTTTGAAATCGCCAACCCGCATTGAGCAAGCGTGGTGATTAATGCTCTAACCTTCTCCGTGTGAGAAGAGGCTTTGCTCAGCAGTGGGCATTTATAGGCTGTTGATGATGAATAAAACATTATATCATGAATATAAAACTGACCTGTGGCACATGTGTATGCGAGACATTAGTCACAGATACAGTATGAGATCTCCGAAGTGGTGAAGGTGGAATGTTGCCAGTAACAGGAGCACTGCTAGACGACACCGTCTCAGGAGTGACTGTCGCTTGACTGGCAACACTTTCTGCACTCGCAACGCTTGTGTTGTCTGGTTCTGCTTCAATATCAGTTCCGGGATCCTCTTCATCCCTATGTACAAAATATTCCGTGGTTAATTATGTTTATGTTACACAATCAAATAATAGGGTAGTTTCCTAAATTTTATTTTTATGTCCGTCTGGTACATTGATTTAGAACTTTAGACACGTACTTTTTCTTTTCTCACAAAATTAAATACTTTCGATGATATATTAATTTAAAATATCGTGTGACGTCACAGCGTGCAACATTTTGTAGCACGTTATGACGTAATAACCTCCCACTCCTGAACTTAGCGCTATTTTATTTAAGTATTCCAATTTAATACAAGAAAATAAAAAAAATACGTGTCTAATATTTTTTCATTATCTAACTGACGGATTAATTATATTTTTAATTTTGATACCCTAGAAACTACCCAATTGTAAACTTATTGATCTACCAATGCCACTAGATTTGGTATCGTACAATCTGTTCCCATTTACTAGAACACCCAGTATCTTCATTTGAAGCTACTTTACAAGTTCCTTAACCCCGAAATAATCCCTAACAATTGTACCAATCAACTTCCAAAGAACGAAGACAACGGTACCGACATCATTTATTTTGATATCGCAATACGTGCTCCAACAATAGGCTCACAGTTAACAACGTACTTCCAAAGCGTCAAGTGTTTGTTAATTAATTATTCTTTCCTCTCCTCCATTGAAGGGTTCTCTTTGAGAACTTTGAGTGGTATTTAATGAAGGGTTAGGATTTTAAAAATAGATCCGCAAATATATTAAGATAGCGTCTACCTTCAGTATAGTAATACCACACACTGTGTGGCCTATTTTCATACAATATTAATTTTAAAAGAAGGCTTTATTAGAAATAATACGATACTATTTTATCAGAGTTGTAACTAGATATCTACAACAAGTGAAACAAGTAAATTTATTTCTGCAAATAGGCAGCACTTTTTCACATGAACACGTCAATTTTTCAAGCGAATGATGAGGCTGACATTTAGTCCAGACAAATATGTATATAAACACATATTTATTACGTTATCACATATTTCAGCTTCCCCCTGTTTCCTTGTCATTCAGGTATTGTTGAAGATTATCATCGTTATTCTTATATCAACAACAAAAAGTCCACTTCTGTTTGGAAGCCACTATTTTATTAAAAGTTTTACTAACCTCTGTTCCACGTTTTCAGAATGCCTGTCAGAGTCCCGTAGCCTCGTGTGCCTGGTCTTTCCAGAAGGGAGCAGTCTCCGCAGTGACACGCCACCACCCACCACTTCGGATAGAAGAGTGCTGCGCGACCCTGTTGGTGCTCCACCTAACTCCAGTGACGCTGAACATGCTAGAAGATAAAGGTGAGATTAATTATTATGTTTTTGAAAAAACATGATTTAATCTATGTAATTACTCAGTTATGTTTTTTATGTCTTCATTTATTTTGATACATTATTATGTTTGTCTAATTGGCTTATTCGTCTGCGAGTCACATAAAGGGCCAGTAGAATACCAGCGCAAGGCCCTGTCTTGCACATGCTGAACTGGTCCTATTTCACGGCAGACTTCGGACATGAACATGTATCCATCAGTACGTAGGTACTTATTATTACTTATTAGTTATTCTATTGAATAACACTCATCTGTACATGTCACTTGTTGTTTAGCGTGAACTAAAGATAATAATCTTTCTTCTTATTAATTTCGTGCATAAACAGTGAAATTGTCTTTTATTTATTCTGAAGGATTTGAGACTTCCCAAGGATAAGAGATAAAGTGTCTGGGTATTATGGCAAACCACAATTTTGTAGAGGAGGCTCATAGTTCAGCAGTGGAGTCTCCCAGACCCCTGATGATGAAAGCAGGTCTACATTCAAGTAATTTTTCTATTCCACTTAAACTACAAAACATACCGTCACTGTCGGTGAGCGACTCTTTATCAGCAGCGCGCTGGTAAGCTCTGGTGCGGTGCGCAGAATGCAGCGCCAGGCACAGTGCAGCCAGCGCTGCAGCGGCTGCGAGTGCCACGGCAGCCTCCCTCGCACCACTACCACCTCGCCACCACATCCCACCACTCACTGAAGCCCATGCTGCTGACGCATTGCGAATCGGTTCTGCGAAAATGATCTCAAAGTCAGCGATAGTAGGTACCATGTAGGAGAAATTAAACATAACATAACATCGCGCCTTTTATTTTCGAAGGGCTAGGTAGTGGTGTACATTATGGTAATGCATGGTATGTACAATGTAACACCCACTTTTCACTATTTATGTTGTGAGTGTCCCATGTAATACGGGGTGAGCCTATTGCCATATACCGGGCACAATTCCAGTCTCCGAAAAGCCCGGTAATACTTTACCGACCCAGCAATCTAACCCAAGACCCCACAGCCCGGCAGTCACACTTGCGACCAACGAGGCAACGAGCAGAGATAAATTAAAGTGTTTAATTTTTATTTGTTTGTTTTATTGCCAAAGTTAAGTAAATCTAAAAATAATAATCAAGATATTCCAATAATACTATAATCTATAATGGTACTAATTAGATGACATATTGACGCAACGCAATGAAGCAAGAATCTTCAATGAGGGAGTATATGAAATCAATTACACAGTGCATTAACACAATACATAATTATATAACATTATGTACATATTAGTTTACAACAACTGGGCTCGCTGCCATTGCAGCGGTAAGTCCCCTCTTTGAGGAGTGGCTTGAGAGACGCTACGGCGTCCTCACCTACCGCCTGACGCAGGTCCTCACCGGACATGGAAGTTTCGGGAGGTACCTGTGTCTGATGGGGCGGGAGGAAACGCCCGGGTGTCATCACTGCGAGGACCGCCCTGAGGACACGGTGGAACACACCGTAGCGGAATGCCCTGCGTGGGCTGAGCACCGCCGTGCCCTCAGGGAAGTGATCGGCGATGGCGACCTCTCGCGTCCGGGCCTAGTGCAGGCCATGATGCGGAGCGAGGGGGACTGGGATGCCGTCTCCTCCTTTTGCGAAGCAGTCATGCTAGCTAAGGAGGAGGCGGGACGCGTGAGGCAGCGAAGCGCTGCCTCCTCGCGACCCAGCCATCGCGAAGGACACACCGGGCGTCGGGGATCGCGGGACGATCTCCGGCCACCGTAAGCGCGGGCCTGCGGACGGCGAGCATGGGTGGCTCCCCGTCCGACCAGAAACAGACCCGAGCGTACGGCGCGTCGCGTTCCGCGCGCGCCTCAAAGAGCCATCAGACCACCACAGATGGGGCCCAATAGGGCCGATGCCGATTCGGAGTCGCGGAGAACCTAACGGGTAACCGGGGCTCCGGCTCGACGTGCAGGAGAAGGAACGGGGTGGTTTTTAGTCAGTAAGAGTCTGACACTCCCTTCCGCCTCACCCAGGCGGGAGCAGTCATTCGATGATTTTCCCCCCTTAAAAAAAAAAAAAAAAAAAAGTTTACAACAACAGTGAAAATTGAAAATCTATTTACAACCTTAGTTCTACAGATATAAAGTCAATAATTTGTATAAGCTCTAGAGTTTATTGGGCGAGTAATATGACATTGAACAGCAGTTAATTAATTACATAATTATCTATTTAGTACTGGAATGTATTTGTATAGCAAATACTAATTAATCTCAACAGACGAGACCTAACTGATTGGTATGCAAAAAAAACGATTATATTCAATATTTTAAGTGTGGGAGAGCCATGCTTCGTCGGCACGAATGGGCCGGCTCGACCGGAGTGATACCACGGCCTCACAGAAAACCGACGTGAAGCAACGCTTGCATTGTGTTTCGTCGTGTGAGTGAGGTTACCGGAGGCCCAATTACCCTTCCCTTCCCCAATCTCCCCAATCCCTGAATCCCCAACGATGCTCAAATTCCTAATCCCCAAATGGCTGATAACGCACTTGTAACGTTCCAGGTGTCCATGGGCGACGCCAATTGCTTACCATCAGGTGATCCGTCTGTTCGTTTACCGGCTTATGCCATAAAAAAAAGAAATATTCTGTGAAAAACTTTTGATATATATAATTCTACTTTTTTACTCCTAGTACTCATAAAAATGGTGCATAGACACTCTAAACATACATAGGTAACCTTGCTGAGAATTACAAAGATCAATAAAGACCTTACCCGTTGCTTACCATCAGGTGATCCGTCTGCTCGTATACCGGCTTATGCTAAAAAAAGGTCATCTATCCTACTAGACACAACTGAATATTTACCTATTTGCGTGGCATGGGCAAGGAACCCGCCAGCACACCGGTCGCTGGTGTCCCCAGACCGCAGCTCCACCAGTATGTGACGACCTCCAGCTATCTCCATCACGCCACTACCATCTGTCGTGGTCTCCACGTCACCAGATGTCTATCAAATCATTAAACAAAATCTAAAGTTCGTAAACAATTATAATAACACCTACTTATGGGATGATGTAGAATAGGGGGTAAATGAATTAACACATCAGGCATTAATTTAAAAACATAACACAACATCTCCAAACGAGTGAGCGTCCCATGTAACAGGAACCTATTGCCACATAGGTATCGGGCACAATTCCAAACTCCGTGCTACTACTGAGATTATTTTTTAAAAGCTAGCGGTACTTTGCCAGATTCAGGAATCGAACCTGAGACCCCCTTGCCCGGCAGTCGCACTTGCGACTACTCGGCCAACGAGGTAGTCAACATTAATTTAAAAAGTATTCACTATAGCACCATTCTTAACCCGAGGTATGAACCTACTTAACTTGATAGCTGCTTGCGATAATTATAAGATCTTGAAATAAATTTATCATGAAAAGACATGTCGCATATTTATACCTACCTAAAAAGAAAATTCTAAGAAATTGAGCACATTTCTAATTAGGTCACCCTTATGAACAAGTTTGTGAATGACATGCCTAATTAAGATGTCTTAGATAATGATCATCTTTAATTAACGTACTTGCCTATTGGCACTCAAAGTCTAGTGAAAAATAGAAATAGTAAAAAATTCTACTTATTAAATGCGTAAGTATTTTTAATTACACTTTAAAGACAAATAAAACGAACATATAAATAAGACAAATAACACGTAACTTCAAGGAGGCCATACACGGTAGGTTTTTGCATGGTGGTTTTAGCCGTGCATGCATATCCGACAGGCAAGCCTATTTTTGAGGGGGGAAAATCATCCAATGTCTTCTCCCGCCCGGGTGAGGCGGGAGGGAGTGTCAGGCTCTTACTGACTAAAAACCACCCCGATCCTACTCCTGAACTTTCGAGCCGGAGCCCCGGCAACCCGTTAAGTCTTCCGCGGCTCCGTCTTGGTATCAGCCCTGTTAGGCTCCATCTGTGGTGGTCTAGCGTGTATGTGATTAAGCTGTACAGTTATCGGTGCATCGGTGCTCGGTTTTGCATGCACATTTATAACTATAACCATCATGCATAACCTAGCGTGTATGGCCTCCTTTATAAAACATTGTTGGAAATCTTTGAAGGTAGAAGAAAATTTTGTTTGGTATAAAAGGCTTGTCGAGTGCATCACCGCGCTCTTTTCGTTCGAGATTCGTCAGACCGGCAATACGCTTGTCCTAGCAACCAATATTTCTTTGTTAGTTTGTTAATTTGTGGTTAAATAACTTGGTCACAATGTCACAATTATCTAGTCGTTCTAATTACATTTTTAAAGTTTGCCGTTGTATTTTTGTCTTAAAATAATAATAACATCACGTCTTTTATCCCTAAAGGGGTAGGCAGAGGTGCACACAGAAGTAACACCCACTTTTCAGTATTTATGTTATGAGTCCCATGTAATAGGGCCTATTGCCATATACCGGGCACATTTCCAGACTCCGTGCTACTATTGATAATTTTTTTTAACCCAGTAATACTTTGGCCGACTCGGGAATCGAACCCGAGACCTCTTGCTTGACAGTCGCACTTGCGACCACTCGGCCAACGAGGGAGTCAATAAATAATAATATTGTAAACAATAAATAAATGTACGAAATAATCAAATACACTTACCACAGCAGTACTGTCAGGTCCATCCCAGGAAGCCAGGAGTGGTGAGCCCAAAGAGTCACCATCTCTGGCCCTCAGCGATTGTCCAGCACACGGTAGTCTCACTGCCTCCATACGAAGTCTGACTACCAGACCTTCTTCAGCCTAGGAATAGAAAATATTACAATTGTAACAGTTCGATATCAGACTTTATTAAACTGTCAAACACCAAGCGGTCACCGGTGACCGCGACCTATTGTTCTTTAATTGTGTCTATAAAACCGGTACTCGACGAGTTAAAAGAATTTGTACCATAATCAGTTTTTTTTATGGAATAGGAGGCAAACGAGCAGACGGTTCATAAGCGATCAGCGCCGCCCATGAACACCCGCAACACCAGAGGAGTAACAGGAGCGTTGCCGGCCTTTTAAAAAGGAATACACTCTTTTCTTGAAGGTTTGAAGGTCGTATCGGTTCGGAAATACCGCCGACGACAGATCATTCCACTGTTTTGCTGTGCGAGGCAGAAAGCGTTGTTTATAAAATAGATCAAAATAACCCTTTGAACTATTTTGAGCTTGATTTAACTACTGTCTAGACTTGTATGATTAGGAGTAACACTAAGATTGAATTTCTTGAACGAATACTTCGTTTTAAGAGCAAATAGCGTTTAAGATAAATGGTATTTTCATTCACCGTACCTCCAATTTTATCATTCACAGACACACACTCCAAATTATAAATGACGCAAAATCCCTTTGTTCCTTCATAGCTACTTACATACAACTTTTTACTTAACTTTATATAAACTCAGAATACAAAACAATGGGAAGTAGAAACGATCTCATAAAATAACAATACGTATCTGAAACATTGATTCCAAAGAATAAACATTAACTTTTAATTGAAATAGAATGGATCAAGTTCAATAGAAACCTACTAACCGGCTGTTTCGAAAGATGTACACTGGCTACCATCAAGCTATACAGTACCATTATATCATGGTACCGCATTGTGTAATCTTTTCTCAGTTCCTACGGTCAGCTTATACTGGTTATCTATAGGTCGATGTGCAGCTGTGTGTACTTAATGCTAATTGCCAAGGGAAATGAAATGGTTGAATGAATTCTTGGAATCAGTATTAGGTCTTCGTCATCGACTATAATATTAACACATTCACTGCGTTACGGCAAGTATTTTGCCGTATTTGATTCTCAGCCAGTCCGGTACCTCGTTGTCCTCGCATATCAGGAAACATAGATACGGGCAGCATTTGTCTCGTATCGCACTAGTAGAAAGTTTAAATTTAACGCTGCCGCAGTGAATGTGTTAATAAATAAACTGATGTAGGTATAAAGTAGCTGACCGGTATGCCTGTTTCACGCCTCACGCCAACATCACGCCTTTTATCCCTGAAGAAGTAGGTAGTGGTGCACAATATGGCATACAATGTAACATCCACTTTTCACTATTTATGTTATGAGTCCAATGTAATAGGGGGTGAGCCCATTGCCATGTACCGGACACAATTTTATTCTAGACTCCGTGCTACTACTGAGATTTTTTTAAAAATCCAATCATACTTTACCCTACCAGGAAATCGAACGTGACCCATTGCTTTTTTTTGAGGGCGGAATATCATCCAATGACTTCTCCCGCCCGGGTGAGGCTAGAGGGAGTGTCAGACACTTAATGACTAAAAACTACCCCGTTCCTACTCCTGGACTTCGAACCGGAGTCCCGGCAACCCGTTAACCCGTGTCCTCTGGGCGGTCCTCGCAGTGATGACACCCGGGCGTTTCCTCCCACCCAATCCGAAACAGGAACGTACCGAAACTGAGACCCATTGCTTGACAGTCGCAATTGCAACCACTCGGCCAACGAGGCAGTCACTAAAGCAAGAAGTCTTTCCGAATCCCTCTTAACATCATAAGGTCAAAAACTAATTAAGAAATTAGTGTTAAACCAAACTTCGGAGTGAAATTTTGATAATCTAAAGTTTCGATTGAAGTTACTTGAGACCTGGCGATTCAAACTTGCCTCGACAAGTTGTTGCGTTGGCACAAACAAACAACTTTTGTTACAGTCATGCTGCGGCTACTGACGTGGCATTTAATTAACAATTAATTATCGAAATGAAGGCTTCATTTGCAATACTTTAGTTTCAAACTATTTTGTATTAACATGACACTACGCCTTTTATCCCCGAAGAGGTAGGTCGTGGTACACATTACGGTACTTTAATGCCATTGCACAATGTAACACTCATTTTTTACTATTTATGTAATAGGGGTTGAGCCTATTGCCATATACCGGGCACAATTCCAAACTCCGTGCTATTACTGAGTTAAAAAAAAAAACCCAGTAATACTTTTTCCGACCTGGGAACCAAACCCGACCAATCGCGTTGCGACCACTCGGCCAACGAGGCACTCTTTTATTTGGTAATATAGGGATAATGTTTCGGATAGGTTGTATGTTAATAATAGTAGTATTTCCAAATCAGTCACTATAAAAAGTAGCATACGATATTAATTAATATGGGTATAGTACGTACAACGAAGCACTTGCACCTAAGTAAAAACCTACATTCTAATTATTTACTTTCTACGAATTCAGATCAATTTTAATTTTATGGAATGACACAAAATATAACAGTTATAGTAAATTTATTCTTTTTCAACCCGTGCGTACGGCGCGTCGCGTTCCGCGCGCCTCAAAGATCCATCAGACCACCACGGATGGGGCCCAATAGGGCTGATGCCGATACGGAACCGCGGAGAACTTAACGGGTTACCGGGGCTCCGGCTCGAAATGCAGAAGTAGGAAGGGGGTAGTTTTTAGTCAGTAAGAGTCTGACACTCCCTCCCGCCTCACCCAGGCAGGAGAAGTCATTCGATGATTTTTCCCTCTTAAAAAAAAATTTCAAATCCTAAATACAAAGCTTTGCTTTAAAAGCAGATAGATTTTTTCAAAAGAATTCAAACTTCTAGAACTTTCTTCTGGAGCCTTTGTTCGACACTGAATAATACCTATTAAAACTTCTACAATCTTTGTAAAGAATTTAGATTCGCCATTTTAAAAGATAATTTCGTATAAATAACCCCTACTTTATTATGAACAAGTTCGAATCATTCTTTTGTATTCGCCAGAATTTTTGTCTTTTAAAGAACGTTTGATTAGAAGAAATAACTACTTATTTATTTTAATATTTTTATTAATAAGACCATATATATCGTGTTTTTAACTAAGACTTTTGATTAATATTGTCAACAACTCTTTGTGTGATCCACAGATTGTTGTTTCGGGTCTGGGTGTCATGTGTTTGTGAACTTGTATGTTTGTAAACGCACCCACGACACAGGAGATAATCCTAGTGTGGGACAATGTTTTTTTTTAAAAAAACATACATAACATCACGCCTTTTATCCTCGAAGGGGTAGGCAGATTTCACATTACGGTACTTAATGCCACTGTACAATGTAACACCCACTTTTCACTATTAATGTTATGAGTCCCATGTAATAGGGGGTGAGCCTATTGCCATTTACTAGGCACAATTCCAGACTCCGAGCTACCACTGGCACTGAGAAGTTTTAAAAACCCAGTAATACTTTGCCCGACCGAGAAATTGTAAATCGTTTTTGAAAAAAAAGAAATCAAAATCAATATTTTCAATTTGAAGAACCATCCAACATTGATTGAACAATATCAACATGAAACAATGATTTCTGTGAAAATGAAACGATGACTGCAGAACATGAGATTCACTAATCAATTTCGACCCCCACGACCAACAAATTCCACCGAAGCCTTCCAATATTTCAAAACAGTTAACTTTTAGAGAGCCTGACAACTAATTTTGTTAAACCGTTATATTGTGAGTTAATTACCAGTTACCAGTAACTTGGACGTCCCGTAAACTGTATCCGAAACAATATTAGTTTGTTAAACCGGCAGCTATTGGCAAAGCGACCTTACTTCCGAAATGGAAGTTTTAATGACTTCACGGGCGATACAATTTCAACTAAGCTTCGTTTACACGGGACGTAAACTACGTAGTTGATTCGACAAGTCGATGGGCATTTTTTTCTTTTTTTTAAGGGCGGAATATCATCGAATGCCTGCTCCCGCCTTCGAGCCGGAGCCCCGGCAACCCGTTAAGTCCTCCACGGCTCCGTATCGTCATCAGCCCTATTGGGCCCCATCCGTGGTGGTCTGATGGCACTTTGAGGCGCACGCGGAACGCGCAGCGCAGCCCACTCAGGGCATTCCTACTGTGTGTCCCACCGTGTCCTCAGCGCGGTCCTCGCAGTGATGACACCCGGGCGTTTTCTCCCGCCCCATCAGAAAGGTAGGTATTTGTGTCGTCTAACAAAGATAATTTATGTGTCAATTTAAATACGTTACTGTAGATAGTATAGATTAGCCACGTGATCTAGCAATTGAAACTGTAAGGCAAGTGATACACACATTTGTGGACCTTTGGTTGTTATTTTAATTATTATATTTTTATGAAAAACTTTTAGAAATTTTAATTGAAGGAAATCGTCGTGCAGCGTTTTCATTACTTGTTTACTGGGCTCAAACTATTGTCAAGTACAGTGACCAATGTAAACACTCCTTAGGTACATTTATGTATTATACCTCTTTGGAAGTAGTAATGGACCGTCATATGTTCAAGTGACAGCTTTACATAACTTTGTTTTGACATTTGATTGTACGTCCGTCATTGTTCAGTGACGAGGGGAGGGGAGGGGAGGGTACTTCCTGAACCTCATAAGTGGAGGAGTTTGAAGGACGTTTGCATATATTACGGAGTTTAACTTTGACTGCCTCTTTGGCCGAGTGGTCGCAAGTGCGAAGTGCAAGGGGTTTTGAGTTCGATTCCCGGGTCGGGCAAAGTATTACTGTGTTTAAAAAAAAAATACTCAGCAGTAGCACGGAGTCTGGAAATGTGCCCAGTATATGGCAATAGGCTCCCCCCCTATTACATGGGACTCATAACATAAATAGTGAAAAGTGGGTGTTACTTCTGTGTGCGCCTCTGCCTACCCCTTCGGGGATAAAAGGCGTGACGATAAGTTATGTTATATGTTTAACTTTCATTAGCTGTCAGGAACAACTATTTTGATTTTTATGCAAACTACTGGTACCTTGATGATCTTACTGCGTGAGGGGACTGCTGATGAAGAGTCTAAGGAGTTTAAGGTTTTATAGCCGCGATAAAAAGTAATTAGGTTCATAATAATATATTATATACTGTACGCTAGTTATGTTTCTGCCACCGACAGAGGGGTGCAAATGAAAACTATAATCATTAGACTAAGTTTATTATAATTAAAATTACATGATACCTCTTAAAATCTAACTAATCTAAGAGCGAATGCTTTCGACGTTAGAACAACACTGATTTCTTCTCATAAAATTATTTCGAAAGAATCATCATAATTTACGTGCCCCAGTGTGTAACTGAACAACTTGCTAGTCTCTGAAACGTACATAGTTCCTGAAGTTTTAAGGAGCGTGATATTTTTGAGAATGAAGTGCCGACACCAAGTTCTAAAACAAAAGTTTATTTAATGTGGATGCCAAGTCGTCGTTGTGAAAGTACCCCGGGGGCCGTCTAAATAAAAATGATGAAGTATTTTTTTTTTTTGAGTTATTGAACATGTTTTCTGAGTAGAGGCTTAATACAAAAGATTTTTTACTAAGTATCGCCTGAAACCAGGTTTATTTTACGTCAGTTTTTGTAGCAAAAAATAAGGGCCTGGCCACAGCTTCTAGCGGTGCGGCGCGCGGCGCGACGGGAGGCGCGGCGGGCGACGCGATTTGCGTTGGTATGCCACAGCTCGACTAGTTGCGACCGCGGCGGCGTCAGCGGTGGACGTACTCAGTATTATTTATAATGGCCCTATCAAAAGTGGCACGATATTGTTTACTTAGGGTTTTTTGGACAAAATCCTAGCGTGCTAACAAGTAAGTATTTTTCATCACTACATAGTATAAAACAAAGTCACTATCCGCCGTCTGTCTGTCCCTATGTATGCATAGATCTTTCAAAATACACAACGGATTTTGATTTTGATGCGGTTTTTTTAATAGATAGTGATTCTTAAGGAAGGTTTATATGTAAATTGCACCCGTGCGAAGTCGGGGCGAGTCGCTAGTCGTATCACATCAACACATCACACATCAACAGCTTATAAATGCCCACTGCTGAGCAAAGCCTCTTCTCACACGGAGAAGGTTTGAGCATTAATCACCTCGCTTGTTCAATGTGGGTTGGCGATTTACAAACTTATAATTAGAAATTATAAGCCCAGGTTTCCTCACGATGTTTTCCTTCACAGTTTGTCAATGGTGTCTAGATAATCTTAGAAAGTATAATTATGTAACTCGGAAAAAGTCACATTTGTACTTACCGTTGGTAGGTTTCGAACTCGCACTCACATGCATGAGAGACGGGCGTTTTAAACCTCCGGGCCACCAAGACGTTAACTAGTCGTATCATAAAGAAAATAAACAAAAACACAATTTACCCTTAGAAGCCAGAATGATCGAGCAGGACAGGCTCTAGCGGAACCGGCCAGCAGCCTGGCAGTGGGTGCGAGGTGCAGTACACAACCACATCGACACCTGGCACCAACTTCTGCTACCACCATCGAGGAGTCTCCAGCCCAAGGTTGCGCTGCACACTCACATGCTGCCAGCTCGACTGCTTGACCCTGGAAAAATAAAATATTGTAGTTCTGATCCTCAAAGTTAACTCTGTACTCAAAGTTAAAAGAAAACATCTTTATCTTTCTGAAAACAATAATGATGCAATTCTATTACAGTATCCATCTCAACAATAAACAGTGTTACGAGAACAAGGGTCACTGTATTTCATCCCGTGTGTCTTTTTGTTACGTGTGTCTAAAGTTGGTTTGGGCTGGACAAAGACTTCAAAGGAAATCTCAGTGATCTATCAATAAAATACGTCGGTGACTTTCTTGTGGTGATTATTCATGTATTTGTCAAATCAAATTAGTTCTAGGGCCAATAAGTAAATCAACAGATAATTATTTCGATTTTTAGCTGTACAATAATATTGTCATTTGATAGTTTTTAGGATGAAGAATTATCAGATATTCAGTTATTCCTCTGGTCAAGGACGCCTCTGATATTTTAGTGGCGTTGGAAAAATCGGCCCTAAATTCAATTAGTCGGTTCAATTATTTTCACTGTCCAATATTAATTTGTATGTTATGTAGGATAAAAGAAAACAAACTTTATAAAAACTCGTGTAATAAATTAATTAAATACTAACATAAAATATATTTGTTATGTAAAAAATACATCAATCAACCCACAACTACATACTACACGACACAAAATTACGATATTGATTGCATACTGTGGCAAATATTACTTTTCTTAATTTCCATAAAGTTAAAAGAAAAATTACATTTTTGTTAAGAAACAGGAAAGACTGAGAAAACAATTTTACAATTAATTATCCTTATCTTGAAGTTTTAAACATTATTATTTGCCAATCCAGTGAATAAATCGTTAGAAAAGTAGTAACTACCACAATGTACACTCAATATAGACTCGACAAATGAAAACTAACTTAAACACGAAAACAAATAATTATTCCGCTTTCTGTTCCTCATCAGTTTTTTCCTTCTCTTCAGGTAGCTTGTCTTCAGGTGTTTCACCTTCCTCTGCTTGTTCCTCACTAGTTTGTGGGGCATCACTCGTATCTTTTACAGGTTCTTTTTCTTCGTCTGCTACTGTTTCTCCTTGTTCAGTCGCTTTGTCAAAAGATTCTCTTTCATCTGTCTTATCTTCTGCACCTTCTCCATCTTCTACAACACCTGATAGAGTCTCTAATTTTGCCTTCGACAAGCTCATTTTTCTCCCATCAGATTTCGCTTGCGATAAAGATATTTTGGAAGCCTGTGAGTAAGCCATTTCAAGCATCAAAGATTTCTGCATTTCAGCTTTACTTAATTCTAGCATCTTGCTCATTTCATTCAAGTCTTTGCCCTCTTCATCATCAATATCGCTACCGCTTGAATGCAATGACGTCACAGTAAATGACGGCACACTATCTTTAGGAGTTGGCGGTTGATCCTCTTCTTCGGGTGGTACCAGTGTAATACTTGGTATCGTTTTCAAACTTCCCACGGAAGACGACGATGTGAAAGAACCAGACGCAGAGCTACGTTTTTCTTCAGATGATTGAAGCGATGCTGTTGTTCCTAAACCAGTGCCCACTACTAATGATTTTCTTATAACTGGTTTCGGGATAAAACCAAGGTCACCTTTATCATATATATTGCCAAGCGATATCAACGACTCCATTGATTCAGCTCGTGCAGTATCACGATATTGGTTAATTACCGACAGAATATCTTGAAGTACTAATTCTCTATCAATGATTTCTCGAGTAGGATCCAATTTAGACCAATGGTCTAATTTTAATGCCGCTTCCACCGCAAAAGCTGCTTCTTTCAAAATCTTTTTGAACTTTTCACGTTCTCTCAGTAGTTTAGCAGTTTCTACAACAGATTTATTTTGTTCACCCAAAGTAGCATGCAAGTTTTGTTCAAGTATACGCACGCGTAGTGAAAGACTTTCGTTGTCTTTCGTCAATTTTTGCGTTCTTATTTGTAGTTTTTCATTATCAAATTGTCTCTTATCATGTAGAGCTTTTTGTTTCTTTACATCTTGGAATGCAGTGGTTAATTGATCAATAACTTTTAACTGTACAATACTTTTATTGATTGCTTTATCCCGCTGTTCTTCAGCCACTTCCCTAGCGCATTGAGCAGCTCTTTCATCCTCTCTGAATTTTTCGTTTTGCTCAGCCACTTTTGCTTGTGTCATTAAAAGACTATCCAACTGATTATTTAGAGCAATATTTTCTCGGATCACTCTGTGAGTAGAGGCGGCAATCCTCAATTCACTAGCATCTTGGAATTCTTGTGCTAAATGTAAAAGTCTTTCTTCCATTTCCTTCTTTAACTTATCTTTTCCTATGACGAATTTTTTTTCAGCGTCATACAGCATTCTTTTATACTTCATTTCTTGTTCTTCAAAAGCGCGGTCTTGATTTTCGAATTTCTTCATGAGATCGTCTCGAATAGCCCTAAACTCTTCGAGGGTGTTAAGTTTTCCAGCCAGTAATTTATTTTCTGATGTGAGCTGATCTTTCATAGTAGTAAAATTCTTTTTTAATTCCGCAACAGTCTCTTTAAATTGTTCAGTTTCGATCTCTCGTAATTCTTCTAAACCTTTCACCTTTTCTTTGAGTTCGGTATTTTCTTCAGTTTTAACATTGAGTGTTTTTTTCAAGTAAGCAATTATATCTGCTCTATCTTCGTCAAGTTTATCGTAAGCTTTTTGCAGTTCTTCATTTCGTATTTCATACTCATCAATTGATTGTCGGAGTCGAGCCAATTTTCGATTGCAATCAGCTAGTTGTAATTCATACAAGGCTCTTTCAACTTCAGTAAATGCACCTTTGAAACCTTCATCTGGGGCTTTCTTCTTTTTATCCTTTTTTGGTGCCATGATTAGAGGTATATATTATTAAGGAAAACGAATTAATAAAACATAATATTTCAGTAGTGATATATAATGAATTCAAAACAAAAGAGTTGACTGATCTGAAGTTTTGAAGTTTCACCTTTTATTATTGTCTCCTCTGTGGTTTAATAGTGTAAAGAGTTTTCTACTCGGAACAATAACTAGACATGGAAGCCAGGCTAAAATAGCAATTTACAAACATATATCTGATGCTCTCACTCTTTACACGATTTTGCGTAGGCGAGAATGAGACCGCAAACTGAACATAGTTCTGATAATTTGCAGGTTGTCACAACTTTCAGTGGACTCATTACAATCTTATGTCATTGGACTCATTCAGCATACTACCAAATTCAAAATCACGTTTTGACGTTCTATGTTTTACAGTTTCACTCAAGTTTGACACCTTCCTCACTTTGCCGGATTATAGTACTGAAGTGTCACCGTGGTTGTATGTACGGCTCCTGATGATAAAAAATATTTTCTAAGGAATTAGCTCAAAAGAAAGGAAGAAAGGAAGTGTATGGTCGTTCTTTATTATGTGTTTTACTTAATAAAAATACGTCTTGTGTGATTGACGGCTGCAAATCACATTTAGGAAGAAAAGAAAACAGTGGTGAAAAAATTCACTTTCATTCGTAACTTTTTGATATGTTTTAAAATAAATTATACTGGAAATACCGGTAAACTATAAATAAATGTTACTTATTTATTGTCGTACTTTTCAATTGCAAGCCTAAACAGTATTATTCCATCTTTTCCTAAAAAATCTAAATCAATTTTCTAAGTTAGTTTTTAAGCTAGTGATGTGGTCGTGTTACATATCGATATTTTAGTTAGGCTTTGAAGTTCTTTATAGTATAGACGTCGTTTAGAGCCCGAGTCACATGATACTTTTGATGATTTGACAGAACACGACTACATTTTGTACCCATCATCTATTACGGAATATTCTAAGAATGTCATAGAATACATAATCGGCTTTTATCGGAACGAAATTAAAAAATCTTTGCAATGCGAAAAATGCCTAGAAATACGGAGAGTATTCCTTAAAGATCTTTGATATCTTTAAATATAGAGGAGGCCTATTTAAACCAACATATGGCTTAACCAAGATCTGTCAACTGTCCGAAAAAATTATAAGAGAATATCAAGTGCATATTGATTCAAAATCTCTCGGTAAACCAAAATAATTATTAGATTGATTAATAAAGTTTCAGCAAATGTGTTGCCGTCAAAAAATTTACGTGAAAAAAAAGATTATTCATTAGAACAATCTTTCTATGATGATCACAGAAATCTTATAAAGTCCATAGCACAAAAATATTTTAAACTTAGGATACATTATGTAACTAAAAATTTGATTGTACCTACCGAAAAAATTCGCACATAATTATTTAAAAGTCAATGATAAACACATAATAGTACACCACTACCACGGTTTGTAAATATGCTTTGTTTGTGAGCAATTAAATTATCTTTTTAATATTGTGTTTTATTTCTGAACCCACGACATCCAGATTAAGAACCTAATGTACGTTAAATCACAGCAGCAATACTTTCAGGTACCATAATTTGTCGATAAAATATATTAATATATTCCCATCACTAGCATATGTACAAGTAGTGACAACCCGCATAATAACGAAATGAAACAGTACACGTGTCTCTTTCTTATACACTATCAATACCATAAGTAAAAAAAAGATGAAAATATGGATTGTAGTTGTTATTTTAGCCTGGCTTCCATGCTTTAGTTATTGTTCCGAGGTTTTCTACCATACATAACTGTGTTCTCTCAACTCTATGATATTTCTCTTATCTTCTGATGTAAGATAAAAACTTTATTTATAAAAATGAAGGAGCTAATTCAATCCATAACTTGTGAAGAAAAAGTCAAGCCGTTTGTTAAATTTTACATTTCTACAGTAGTATATATAAGATGAAGGATTTACTCAATAAATTGCCGATTCTAATGTTAATTTAGAAGAAGTATAATATAAATTTAAAGAAGACTGATCTATCGATATGAATTATATTTAATTGCTTACTCGCCTACTTTCTTAGACAAGCTAACTCAACACAAACCACCGGGGTGCTCATGTTTATGAGTGTAATTGTGCGACTACCACGCCACGAACGTCGCAACGGCAAAACAATTACACGTGTCAGCCGTTTAGCATAATAATAATAATTAAATTATTGGTTGTAGTGAAACGTGAATAAATGAAAGAAAGCGTACATTTTTTTTATGGTATAAGCCGGCAAACGATCAGACGGATCACCTGATGGTAAGCAATCGACGTCGCCCATGGATACCTGGAATACTAGAGGCGTTACAAGTGTGTTACCGGCTTTTTGGGGATTAGGAGTTTGAGGATCGTTGAGGATTCAGGATTGGGGAGATTGGGGAAGGGGAGGGTAATCGGGTCAACACATCCTGAAAAACCTTATTGAAATAAAACAACATTAGTTAATAAACGATTTTTTAATCATCACACGTGCAACTTACACTTATTTGTGTGTATAACGCAATTTTTATATAATACAATAATTAATTAATGTAAAACGGTATTATAAAGAATAATAAATGACATTAATATTCAGAATGTCTTCATTAACATAAATCCTTTTCACTTGCACTTGTGTTCATTATCTAAATAATATATAATAGCATTTTTATTAAACCAGCTTAAAATAAATTAACCAAAGGTACATTTCATAAAAGTATATTTTATGTATCCAACCTTGGCTTGATTATTTTATCATAATTCATGAATTACGATGAATGTTTCTTTGTTTGCCCTCAATAAAACTATCGGAGTACAGTCAAACAAAACATACTCTTTAAATCTTATACAAATAACAAAATAAACATTAATCCAAAAGACATGCTGCATAAATGTGTTTCTATAGTATTTATAGAAACATTGACGCAAAACATCAACGTCGTGCAAAAATGTAAAAAATAAAAAAATAAAATGTAAACATATAAAAAAAAACATAAAAACTTTCGTATCAAAATACACGATTCAAAATAAAAATAAACAAAATATTAATCGGATCCTTCTTTTGTCTCTGGTTCTTGATCTTGTTCTGACTGTTTAGGTTCATCTTGTTCTGATTGTTTAGGTTCATCTTGTTCTGATTGTTTAGGTTCATCTTGTTCTGGCTGTTGAATGATAACTGACTGTTGTTCATCGATAGGGCTTTTGATTTGTTTATCCGGATCATCATCATCAGTACCACTCTCTCCAGTTACGGCAGGAGACGGCGCTGTATCATCTTTCCCAGCACCTGATTTTTCAATCTCAACCTCAGATGTAAGCGATATTTCTGTCATGTCATCTTTTTCTTCTTGTGGCAGTCTAAGAGTACTAACTACTTTTGATATCCTCTTTATATCAATTTTCATCTCTGACTGCCGTTTCAGAGAAACTTGAGAAAGGAAAAGGTCTTTCAAAAATGATTTCTGCATCGCAGCTTTACTATCAGCTAATTGTTTCTCTATGTCATCTTCTTTATTTTTTTCTTCTTCTTCTTCTCCTACTTCTTCAGACACAGATGAAACAACAAAAGACTCGGCACTTCCTTCGTCCTTTGTTCCCAAATCTTTCTTCGTAATAGTTGGTATTATTTGAATACTGGGGATAGTGTTGACACTAGCAGTTATAGTAGAGGTTGAATAGGATGCAAAAACTGAGCTTTCAACTTCAACTTCAGACGTATCTTTTGTAGGAATGGCTGAAGCAATAGTGTGTTGTGTTGCCAATACTTGCTTTTTCTTTGGCTTTGGCACAAAGCCAAGGTCACCTTCTTCATAAATTTTACTAAACGAACCTATTGTTCCCACAGACTCTGCGTCCTCCAGTTCACGGAATTGTGATACTATTTCAAGTAAATGTGATAGTAGTACACGTCTATCCATAACTTCTCGCGCCGTGTTCGTAGTAGCCCATTCATCTAATTTCAATGCTGCCCGAATAGCAACCGCCGCTTCTTTTAAAACTTTTCTGAGTTTTTCCCGCTCTTTTGACATTTTTGCAGCTTCCACTACAGCTTTATTTTGGTCATTCATTCTTGCGTGTAAGTTTTGTTCTAAAACGCGGACTTGAAGGCTAAGATTATCATTTTCTTTAGTCAATCTTTCTATTTTCATCCGCTGTGCTTCAAAATCGTAACTTCTTTTTTCAAATAAGCTTTTTTCTTTTTTGACTGATTCAAACGCAGCTGTTAACTGTTCAATGACCTTGAGTTGAACAACACTCTTGCCAATTGCCTTATTTCTTTCCTCTTCAGCTAATTCTTTAGAAACCTGCGCAGATCTCATAGACTCTTTCAAAATTTCATTTTGTTCTACTAACTTCGCTTGAGTAGATAAAATATTTTCTAGTTCATTATTGATAGCAATGTTTTCTCTGATAACTCTATGAGTAGAAGCTGCTACTCTCAACTCAGTTGCGTCTTGAAAATCTTGAGCAAGCTGCAGTAGTCTGGCTTCCATTTCTTTTTTCAAATTGTCCTTACCAATAACGAATTTCTTTTCAGTATTGTAGATTATTCTTTTATATTTCATTTCTTGATCTTTGAATTCCTGTTCTTGGTTTTCAAACTTTCTCATTAAATCATCTCTTATTGCTCTAAACTCTTCTAGCGTGTTAAGTTTACCGGCCAGAGTTTATTTTCCGAAGTCAGCTGCTCTTTCATTATAACAAAATCTTTTTCTAACTGTTTGGTGGTTTCTTGGAAACGTTCATTTTCAATCTCTCTTATTTCCTCGAGACCCTTAACTTTTTCCTTCAACTCCACGTTTTCTTCGTTTTTGATAGTCAACGTCTTTTTTAAATATGCAATTATGTCTGCTCTATCTTCATCCAACTTATCGTATGCTTTTTGTAGTTCTTCAAGCCGCAACTCATACTCTTCCACAGCGCTTCTCAGTCTGGCTACTTTCCGGTTGCAGTCAGTAAGCTGAAGTTCCAGAAACGTCCTTTCCACTTCGTTGAACACTCCGCCTTTTTCGTCATCCTTTTTGCCTTTATCTTTTTTAGGAGCCATTGAAGGTAAATACAATAAAATAATTTATCAAAATAGAAACTACCAAACGTCGCGTTTGATTGACATCAATAACGCGGTTACTATGATACGTGTTACTTAGCAACGCACTAACAAGGTAGTGCTACAAAGTAAAATATCGCAATATTTAAGGCGAGCCTACACAGTATCACAAAATTTACTCAATTTTAGTTTTGATGCCTTTTTTTCTTTTTTAAGGGGGAAAAGCATCGAATGACTTCTCCCGCCTCAAGCCTTAGGTAACATTTTTTTAAGGTGTCAATATTATAGTTTTTAGTATTTTAAGTTGTATATTTTAAGGTGTAATAATTTTAGTTATTAAATTGTTTGTAAATGTTGTTAGAAGATATTAACTCGTCGAGTACCGTATTTATAGACACAATTAAAGAACAATAGGTTGCGGTCACCGGTGACCGCTTGGTGTTTGACAGTTTAATATACATCAACATAAAAGTCCAAAAAAAAAATAGCTTTTTTTTAATTTTCTCTATTAATTTTAATATATTGTATGTATTAGTGTAATATATTTTACGTTGTACCTAAATATTTATATCATTTTCCTTATTTTTAAAAGATGATAATGATTAATACCATAGAGAAAACAAAAACTATAATCTAAACTTTGATGACAGTATACCAACATGTACGCGCGTCATAGTCGTAGTAATGCATTACACTAATGAAAAAAAAAATTAGAATATAAAATGTTATTCAAACTTAAATAAAAAGTTACTGAAGTAAGCTTACTTGCATAAAAAATCTTTTAAATACCAAGTTGTACCAAGTTTACTGTTAACTAGTAATTGACAGTCGCTAGGAATTATTTCGATTTCGGTGTCATAGGTAAATTAAACTATTGGTTAAATCACTGTAAGCTATTGGCCAAAGAATACCTTCAAGCAACCGGGCACTTTACTTTTACTTTAAAATAAAATTATGTTTTTTTAAATACACTTTTTTACTATTTCTTACTTGGTAACAAGCGTACTTGAGTGTGACCAATGTTTAGAATTAACAAAATCTTGACAAGGATTGTCTCTTTGACATCTTTAACGGCGTTGCCATGACGACCTAATCGACCAAATAAAACAAAATGGAAAAAATCTGTCATTGTATTCGAACGAATGTTATGCTTATCTTATCACCTTGATCACCTTCCCCATAACACTGTCAGAAGTGATTTTAGCTAAAATAATACGCGTTCTCCTTCTTCAAATATAATTTATGAATTATCTCAGTCTAGGAGAGCATATATTGTTTTAAAGTATTTTGTTTTTACAGACAATAGCAATACTTAAATAGTTTGGTCAATTTCACTTACCTCACAGAACTTGGCACCGTAAGCAGGTGGAGGGGAGTCACAAAAGCGGTGTCTACTGCGCGTGCGCGTGGAGCAATGTGCCGGAGCGGGACACGCTGACCATGCCGACCACTGCCCCCAGCCACCAGCACCACCATCTGCTGGGAATGTACAAAACTAATTTATTATCTAGCACATGGTTACATCTTATCTCAATAATATAAATTCCCGTTTTTACCGACGCCTCCTAAATTTTAAGGACCCCCTAAGCTAAGATAGGTGACATTTAATGATGTTTTGGGTTTTCACCAATCTGTAAGTGATGCCTGACTAAACAAATAGGGGGTTAGTATACGTCACGCGAAGTAACTCTTAGTAAAAACATAGTTTAAGGGTGGTAATGGAAATGGTCATAGAAATATCAGAAACAACGCAAGCCTTCCTTCATGACGGTTTTCTGTGAGGCCGTGGTATCACTCCAGTCGAGCTGGTCCATTCATGCCAAAGTATGGCTTTCCCACACTTAGATGGCGATACACTATCCACAATTCCAGGCCTTGTGTAGTTACTAAGAATTTTCTAAAATTAAAAATTAAATTTTCCAAGACCTCTGTAGTCATACTTGTGACCTGTGTACATCGTGATAGTCGATATTATCTATGACTTTGAATATACCAATCAAAATGGTTTATCAAAATGACTCGTTAATCTCACCCTGTTACAGGGTAACATTGTTTTCATTAATAACAAAGTTACGTCAAATTACCGCGTAGTTAAGAGTTTGTAACAGCCTCAGTTTACTCATCGCTATTCATAATAAGCTATTGAATTACTGTCGCGATCAAACTGAGACTAAGTTTATTTAGACGTTGCTATTCCTGGATGTACTATTTTATGTTTTAATGCATTTTCAATACATAGATGTTTTTGTGGACGCACTTTATCTTTTTCATGGAACAAGTGCATGGAATAAGCTGGTAGATGAGCAGACGGATAACTTGATGGTAAGCAATCGGCGTCGCCCACGGACACACGAAACATCAGACGCGTTACAAGAGATGTTAAGGATTCGCGGATTGGAGAGGGGGGTAATGGGGCTTCCGGTAACCTCAATCAGATGAAACACAACACAAGTGTTGCTTCACGTCGGTTGTCTGTGAGACCATGATATCACTCCAGAAAGATTAGAGAAACTGAACAAATATTAGATAAGTACAATTTTTACTTTGCGCCAGTAGGTAGTCGTCTGTTTAACATGTAGTCTATTATTGCATCGATGACAAAATTGAGCCACGCAACCGAGCAGACACTTTTTTTTTAATGGGGGAAAATCATCGAATGACTTGTCCCGCCTGGGTGAGGTGGAAGGGAGTGTCAGACTCTTACTGACTAAAAACCACCCCGTTCCTTCTCCTGCACGTCGAACCGGAGCCCCGGTTACCCGTTAGGTTCTCCGCGACTCCGAATCGGCATCAGCCCTATTGGGCCCCATCTGTGGTGGTCTGATGACCGAGCAGACACTAGGAGAGTAACTCTCAATAGAGCTGCATACATTTTGTTGCTGGCAATGGTGTCCCGGTGAAATACAGCTCTGATAACCCTTAATTCTGGCCCTTCTACCTCTAGTAGCACGAATACCTATATTTCAGACTTCGTACTATTACAGAAAACTTCAATAATACCTGTGCATACAGCTCTCAATAGTTTCTCGGTTTATAAAAATAAATTACAATTTCTCTTACCTGAGACCGGCAATGTGGGTAGACAGTCCATTCTGACGTCAGCGACGGCGCCTGTCACAGCTTGCGAGACGTACACGAAGCAGTACTCTGGGTACCGCTCGCTGAACAGCCGGCAGTCGAACGACACTGTATGCTGACCTCTGTAACAAAATCATTCGAAATTGTAGAACTTCATTGACATTGTAAAAGAAATGTTTAATACTGATAATGGAAAATGGACGATAGAACATAAGTGTGATACAACATGTGTTTAAAGAATTTAATTCTCATAAGATATAAGATTAACAGTATAACTTAATGGCGTAAGCTGTAGTGTTATATATGTAAATTTACTAAATAAATAAAAAATAAGAAAAGAGTTCACTGACATAAGAAATACATCAAACCACCTAATGACATCAACTATCAACAGTTTTAATAATTACTCCAATAGAGGCAAGCCTACACTGGGTACAAGTTCATATAGATTAAATAAGAAAAAATACTGCCAACGCCCGAGTAAATTAGGATAAGCGGTAACATTCCTTTCTGTTTTAGAGTGCTCTTACTGTATTGTCTTCTTTATTCTGTGAGCGGGGCGGGGATTGAGCGGGTGTTCATTATTCAGATTCATTTTTACACGAATTCAAAGTCAAAATCTAGTCAAAATCATTTATTTCAAGACCAAGAAGGCACTTTTGATCCTCAACAAAAAAATTGAATGTAGATTCCTATGGAGAAGAACGAGCAAGAAACTTCATAGGCTACTTTTTCAATCGGGATTACAATACAATTATTTAGTTACATAGTTTTATTGGTTCGATTGTGTGAGAACAATGTAACAACAAAATCCAGTCAAAGTGATTTAGAAATAGATTTGAGAGAATTCCTAACCAAATTAAAAACGTGCAAAGCACATATTGGAATACCTTATAAATATTTATCAAGGCTAATTTCTCGGTTATTAAATAAAACGGATGAAAGAAGATGACAGGTCTACGAAACTTATGCGACATTAGCGGGAAATTAATGTTATCGTGACGTGTTATACAGACCTGTGTAATGGCTGCCACTGGTAGCTTATAAATTAAAACCATTAATTATACTGATAACGTGGTTACATCTCATTAGCTACATCGATATTATTATTAATATCGATAAACTTATTACTTTGTTGGAGTTTATTATTTCGTTTACATAATTTTTTATTTTAACAGCTTCGTGTAAATTGTACCTACCTAATGGAAATTATTCGTTTGATCGAATAAATCGAATAAAAATGGCAAAAAAAAGTTTATTTCAATTACCACAGGCATTTGATACAGTTATTGGAGGCTACCTTTTAAGCAAGGAATTGCTTGACTCTGCACTAGTAGTGATGGTAGTTTACTTTATCGTTATCTTTTTATTAACGTTCCCCAACTCGTATGGAATTGCCGTTCGTTAGTCTCGCTAAAACTCGAGAATAACTGAACCGATTTGGCTAATTTTGGTCTTGAAATGTTCGTGGCAGTTCAAGGAAGGTTTAAAAGGTGAGAAAAATAAATTTTAGGTGTATTGAAGTTTACCGGGTCGGCTAGTATGGTTATAAAATAAGTTCGGTTCTAATACATAAGATGTTAGTTATTCTTCCTCAGTAAAAACGTAGTAGGTAATTGTATTAATAGTAATAGTAGGTAATTGTATTAATAGTAATAGTAGGTAATTGTATTAATAGTAGTAGTAGGTAGTTGTATTATCTATTTACGGTACCAATGCGTTTCATTCATAATCTTTTTTTTTATTTCAACCACTAGGTACGTAAAATGAAGTCTATATGCCAAGCACCGAACACAAATTCTCATTCCTGATCACAATCACAAATGGGTAACTCGCTGATACGGGACATCAACATGCATTTCTAATGAATACGTCACATTACTAATTAACAATATGAAACAACAACATAACATAACATCACGTCTTTTATCCCCGAAGGGGTAGGCAGAGGCGCATATTTTGCCACTGTACAATGTAACACCCACTTTTCACTATTTATATCATAAGTCCTATGTAATAGGGGTGAGCCTATTGCTATATACCGGGCACAACTCCAGACTCCGTGCTACTGCTGTTTTTTTTGAAAACCCAGTAATACTTTGCCCGACCCGGCAATCAAACCCGAGACCCCTTGCCCGGCAGTCGCACTTGCGATCATTCGGCCAACGAGGCAGTCAAACAATATGAAACACTATATGAATATTCTCCTAATATTTAACAGATCCGGTTTAACTGGGAAGCAGTACAATTAATTCATCCACCGTTATAAGCTGCTCTCTAAACTATCAATACTATGCTCAATGGTGAATTGATCAAATTTGTAATTCCCGCTACATTCGTGTGGTTACATAAGCCGATTATTGTGACCGCAAATTAGAAACTATATACATGCAGATATACCTACAAATGTAGATTAACCCTTTGAGTACCGTCATTATAGACACAATAAAAAAAATAGGTTGCGGTCACCGGCGTCCTCGCGATGTTTGACAGTTAATGAAAATTATTCACTTGATGTATTGCATGAAAAATCTACATTTGTTCATACGTAGTAGGCAAGTAGTACAAAACTAGTCTCTAAACATTAGAAATAAGGTTTATAATGGAGTAAGTAGAGAGCGGTCACCGGTGACTGCTTGGGGACCCGGCAGCATTCATGTTACAAATTGGAATGCGAAAGGAATTCTTGTCTTGTTAAAAAATAAATGTAGCAACAATATTTAAAAAATTAAAAGAAACTGAATGTATATGTATGATCTGATAATGATTACATAACATAACATCACGCCTTTTATCCCCGAAGAGGTAAGTAGGGGTGCACATTATGCCACTGTACAATGTAACACTCACTTTTCACTATTTAACTATGTTATGAGTCCCATGTAATAGAGGGTGAGCCTATTGCCATATACCGGGCACAATTCTAGACTCCGTGCTATTACTGAGAACTTTTTAAAACCCAGTAATACCTTGCCCGATCGGAATCGAACCCGAGATCCCTTGTCCGGCTGTCGCACTTGCGGCGACTCGGGCAACGAGGCAGTCTCCGATAATGATATTCTATTCTATTTGTCTACCCCAATACTAGTAGGCAAGCGTGATATACACATTTTTGCGAATACCAGAACTAATTTCAATGATTACTGTTACACAAAGAAACTTTAAAGTCTTGTAACCACCATATTAACATTAATAATATACTACTGACCTTCGAACCCTCCTCTCAGCGACATACCGCAGCCGGTCAGCGTCCCTCCCGAACACTCGGACCCGGTCAGCGCCCTCTAGCACACATTCAGGGTATTGGAACAGCACTCTGACACCATCTCCGCATGGGAACACTGAACCTCCATGCACATTCAGCACGAACTGCTCCGACCAATCCGCCTGTAGAAGAAACAAAAATATATTTATATTAACTCTGAATATCTTCAAAAGGCTACTAACTTTAAACTGTCAAACACCGAGCGGTCACCGGTGACCACTCTTTAATTGTGTCTATAATGACGGTATTCAAAGAGTTAAGGGCCAAATACTCATCATCATCAACAGCCTGTAAGTGCCCACTGCTGAGCAAAACCTCTTCTCATCCGGAGAACGCAAGAGTTTAAGATTATAATTAAAAATTATAAGTCCAGGTTCCTTTACAATGTTTTCATTCACCGTTTGTCAGTGGTGTCTATTTAATCTTAGAAAGTACATATAACTCGAAAAAAGTCACATTGGTATTTGCAGTTGGTAGGTTTCGAACTCGCATCGTCGTACATGAGAAGCGGTCGTCTTAACCTTCGGACAATAATTAAAGAGACAAATACTAGGCCTTGGTAACCCCGTTTGCCAAACCCACACTAACACCTAACCGGGGTCTTATACATGAATGTTACACTTAACAGTATGAAGCACCCATAATGATGATTGATAAAATTGAAATGGTTGCACGCCCGAAGTTATTCCTCGAAGGTATGGTAGGCAAACAAGACTTAAAGGCATTTTACACATCAATTAATAATGAATAGTAAGAAAATAAAATGTATCCTATGACATAGGTGATAGAGTACATTAGTACGTTACGTGGGCAGTTAGAACGCTATACATAGTTACAATTAGGATAAACCTGTTGTATACCTAGACGCAGATCCAAACGAAACAATATATTTTCTATAATATATTGTGTCTCATACGCATTCATTGGGTGGTAATACTTTAACTGTAAATTCCCTTTTGTGAATCAAAATATTCGAAATTACTACCAAAAATACTGAAATGCACACTAAATTTGCTCATCAAATAAATCAATTATACTATGTAATAATTCGTAACCTAACCTATTTTGTAATTCCAATAATTATTAACCTTACCTTACCTATTTTGGAAATTCCGTTGTAATATTGAACAATTTGTGTGCAAATCAGTATTTTTGTTTTACGATGTAATATGTTTTTGTAATATGTAGTTAATTTATTAGTGGAGCCATTTGGTTTGCTTAAATTTCTAAATAGAGGTGCAGTAAAAAATTCCCCATTACTATTTAACCCGCCATTGGTGACGTATATGTCTGAGAGACCGGGTGACTCGAAAAATTCGAATAACTTTTTCGCCCGCCGTCTATTCGGGTTGCGATTTTGAGTAGCTGCCTCATTTTAAGTCCTAAACAGTCAGTGCCGCACGTGGCTTTGCGGCGAACGCACGTTCCAGAGTTTTATTGCCAACCCGGTCCGTGAGACCGGCGTCACTAAACAAGTAAGTAAAATATTTACATGGAATTTAGCACAGAATTTAAAAAATCTTAGAATAACATCAAAACTTAGTACTATTGTTACTGTTATCTTAATTATTTTATTGAATGGTATTTGATTAATGTGATTTTTGTATAATTTTATGGATAGTATTTTTTAAAAACGTAATAAATATAGGTACAGATTCCTTTATCTAGTATGAAAAATTCGTTTCAGAATGTCGCACGAAAGAGAACAGCGTCGTCTTGAGACTCTTTTACAACAAGTTTTATCCGTC